ATTATTCAAAATATAAAAAAATCTTTTTTTTTTCGAAACAAATTTATATATACTTATATATATATATATATATATATATATATATATATATATATATATATATATATATATATATATATATATATGTAAATATATATATGCATATGTGTGTGTTGTCATAAACATGTGTTATGTGTTTAAAATTGTGTGTGTGTGTGTGTGTGTGTGTATACATATATAAACAGGATTTTGATACTGAGACCTAACATTCGAAATCACATATTAAAGATAACGATTTGACATTTATTCTTTTAGTCGGTATTATTTTTATCTTTATCATTTTAAACAATTTCACCTTAAATGCAACCACAACAAAAAAAACAAGATACCGCGTATAAATTTCTGGAAACTTTCATCTTTAAAATTTTGTTTTGCTTTATGTTCGGAAGATGTCAATAAATGTCAATTTGAACGTTTAGGTAAAAAAATCGTGGTCGAAAATACACTTTGATCTTTTAAAAATGTTTAGATTTTGATTTTCTATTTGTGATGGATGCAATTTTCAAGAACATTTAATCAAAAATCGCTCTAAATTTATATTTTCTGGAAAACTTAAAGTTTTCGGTGGATTTAATGAACAAACACAAAATGTTTTTACTTAAATTCGCTTTTTGCATTTGGGATTATTTCATTTTTTTTTCTTTTTATTTATTGCTCGATATATCTTGCACAAAATCAAAACGATTGAATTTGGTCCATAGGAAATTGGATACTGTTTCCTAATTAAGATAAAAAAAAAATTTCCGATTTTGAACCAAACAACAAAAATAATTTTATAAAGATATTTTTTCAATTTTAACGAGTTTAATATTTATTTCGTTTATAATAAAAAATATCGCAAAAATATGTTTCACCTTTGACCTTTTTTCAGTCACGTTAAAAAAAAAAAATACAAAAAAAACAAAAACGAACAAACGGATGACAACAAAAAAAATAACTTAAGTTTACTGCTTTTAATTTAATATTCTCTTAGAAAAAAAAAACTTTTTTTGTTTGTTATAATTTATTAAATTGGAATTCAATGATTTTGATGATATGATTGTATTCTATTTAACTCAATATTTTAAAAAAACCTAACATTTTAAAAAGACATCCCCCTCTGAGGGGTTAAATAGTTTCATGATTTAAATTTTTATGTAACCCTTATCCAGTCTAAAGAAATATATGAATCTGTGGAACGAGTTCGAATTTGGGTTAAATTTGTTGTGTTCATCTTTCACCCTACACCTTCAGCTATGAGGTTGAATTCCAAGATGTTTTTCCGGGAATTTAAAACCATTTGGAGATAGCAGAATATTTTTCTTATTGTTTGGCAAATCGAACTCTTTGGTTTTTATCGTTCCTTTAAGAACGCTCACCACATCATTGTATTTAATTTGATCATCATAGTTATCCAGCGTCTTTATGGATTCATCTATTGTTTCATTTAATGGAAATGAATTTGAAAAATTATTCCAAATTTATATATTATTATAATTTTATTTTCAATTCTTTTTGATTTTCTCTTTCCGTCCTAAGATCAATTAGGGCAAATTGAATTTTAAATTAAATTCCGCAATTCTACGACCAAAAAAAAAAATTACTAATTTCATAATTTTTTTCATAGAAAAAGCTTTGCAAAGCCCTTCAATCGTATTTTGAGCTGTATCTTTGAGTTTCTTTTGTATTTCTTTAATTTATGGGCTTCTGGGAATCCCTTCAAAAGTCTTTGAAATTTTCCAACTCCAACTGAAAATTTTTTTTACAACTGGAATTAAAAATGATTTCTCATTAGCCACATTTAGGGTTTAGATTTCCAATTTTTGGTCCTTATCATTTTATTTAAAATATGAAAATTTTTAAAGATTTTACATTACCTTCTGCAGTGATGTCTTTTTTAAAAAACGACTAACTTTTTTCAAAGAAAATTACAATGTCAGTACATTCTGTTTCTCGTGAATCCTTGATCACGATTCTTTTCATTTCGTTAGCTTTGATTGTTTTATCTTAGTTTATTATTTTGTCCCATAAAAATACAGTTATAGATCCTATCTCTGTGATCAATTTGGGTTATATATAATTTGGTGAAAATATTTTTATTATATATTTCCTTTACGTATTTAGTTATTATCATATTATTAATTATTAATATTATTATTATTATTTTCTTTTGATTTCTGGCGTTTATGATTTCTTTTTCATATCCATCGTCTAAGGCGATTTAATTAAAAAATTCGGTCTGGGATTCCAATGACAAAAAAAAAAAAAAAAAATTTCAATTCAACAAAAAAGAAGCCCTTCATAAAGAATACCTTGATATTTTTTCAATTTAATTTTTTCTCCTTGAAATTTCATGGACTTCGGAATAATTATGCTTCAATTAGTTTATACTGCAATCTTTTTTTATCAACCAGTCCTAGAGCTTCAACTTTAAATACAACACCCTTAGTTGTTGATGTTCCAATATGAGACATTTTCTTAATTTCTATTTCAAGGTCCTTCAAGTTTTTTTATTATTATTATTATTATTATTAATCTCCTATTACAAAATTATTTAAACGTCTTTTCAATTTCTCACATTATTTTTGAGAAATGTCATTTTATGAATTCTGTTCCTTTATATTTGTTCTTTTCATCTTCTTTTTTTTCGTAAAAATCCCGGATAATTAATAGTTTCGAATATTAAGTATTTTATGTCAACAAAGTCATTTTTTAACTTTTAAAGGTTGAAGAATTTAATTCAAGATATTAACGAATGTTTCGGAAACAAATTTAATTTTGCAGGTTCGAAAAAGTTTTACTCTGTTTTTTTTTAATTTCGATCAAGTGTTTTAAAAAACCATGCAAAATGTATAAAAATATACCAAACCTTCTTTAAATTTTCTTTTGCTTTCTTTGTTAATATGTTTTTGCTGTGGTCCGGTTTTTAACTTTCAAAAATTAGAATTAATAAAAGGAAAAAATCCATTTTTCATCAAAAGTTTTCTCTAGTTTCCCCACATATCGTTGAAGATATATTTTTGTAGTTTTATAAACATTTCTATTAAATAAAAATCTTGAAACCTTCGGATCTGATGCTGTACAAATCAACATCAGCATCTATAGGATCTATGCATGCTCTAATAAAGTGAGAACTTTCCTTGTTTTGGCATCTATTCGCTTTATGACAGCTATGGTCCAATTAAAGATGTTGAAACTCATTTGTCTTGAAGGACAAAAAATTCTTTATGGCTATCTTCTGATGACCTGTCGTATTAATTTCTCCTTTTCCATTCTATTTTGGTGTTTTATTCCATATCATATGCAAAACATGGTAAATTTCTTTATTATTTAATTAAATCTCTTGATTTCATATTTATATATAATCTTTATATATAAAATATATATATGTGAATTAAATAAATATTCATTATTATTTAAATTTCTTCTTTTATTTATCTTTTAAGCAGACGACTAGTTTTTAGAAGATAAACATTACAATATTGAATTGACAAAAAAATGCAAATAAAAAATTTATCATTCTGTTCTCGACAATTGCAGATCAAATGATTATTTTGAGGCATTTTTAATTGATTTGATTTTGTGTGGATTTTTTATATTCAAGTAAAATCAAATTGATTTTATTCGTCGTTGTCAAGCTGTGGTTTTGATGATGATTTGCTATGATGACCGTTTCTTGACAAATGGATAAAAGCTGTAAAAAATTGACCATTTTGTTTTCAAACAACCCAATGGCCCAATCTATCAATGCCGAGTTTTATATTCAAATAGTTCTATCAAATGTGCAGTCTTTTATTGGTTGTTGTTTCTTAATATTTATCAAATAATCTGCAATTCTGGTTAACATAATTTTTTTAGTGTGTAAATAATTTCTAGGTAATTATCGAGAAAAATAAAATAACCATGATTAAGAAGATTAAAATCTTTGGTTTCAACATTTTCTTTTCCTTTTTATTAGTCTAAAAATGATTTGTACTTTTCTTTTGTTTATATCTGTTTGTTTTTTAAAATGAGAAATAAATATTATGAGGAGTTATGTATTCAATTTATTTTTGCATTGTACATACAATATATTTGGTAAAATGATTTAAATTTTTTTCAATATTTTTCTTTTCCAAATTATTATTATTATTATTATTATTATTATTATTTCCTTTGATTTCTGGCGTTTACACATTTCTTTCAAGGTTCCACCCATAGACTTATGGTTAGAAATGGCATCATGACACTTTCCACTGACAAAAAAAAAAAAAAAAAAAATTACATAGATAAAGCCCTTCGTAAAGTGTGGGCTGTACTTGTCAGAACAATTTTTTTGTATCTCCTTGAGGCATGGACTTCCAGGAATCCCTTCAATTAGTCTACTGGAATCTTTTCCAACCAGTCCTAGTGCTCCAACTACAACAGGAATTGTTGATGTTCCCATATGTCACATTTTTGAGATTTCTATTTCAAAGTCCTTGTATTTTGACAGCTTTTTGAATATCTTCAAAGATACATTGCAGTCAGCAGGGACTGCCATATCAATAAGGAGGCACTATTTTTTGTTTGTGGTCTTTAATAACAATATCTGGGCGGTTGTCTTTGATTGTTCTGTCAGTGTGTATTGTGTAGTCCCATAGAATTGTAACAGGTCCTATCTCCGTAACCGGGTCTGGGTGGTGTTCATACCAGTTTCTTTTCAGTTTCCTTCCCGTAGAAGTTGCAGATTTTCCAGTGCAGATATTGGTCCACTCTGTCATGCCGGGTTTTATATTCAGTGGGTGCCAACATCGTGCAACCTGATACAAGATGATCAATCGTTTCTGGATATTTATCACAGAATCTGCATTTTGGGCTAACACAATATTTTAGTATATGTGCTTGATTATCATTATTATTATTATTATTATTATTATTATTATTATTATTATTATTATTATTTCATCAAATACTTCACACCTGTAATATTCGGTCATTTCTACTGGCGATAAATTGAGAGCATGTCTTCTGAATTTTCCAGCATATTCCTCTTCATTATTACTTTAGCTGATATGTTGTTGAAGTATCTAGAGATAGTTGATGTTGTTAGTATCCGTTTCTTTAGCGACCGAAGTGTTGAATTTATAGCAAAAATTAGTGCAAACTAATGCAACAGAGAGGTTAGTTCAGAAGGAAAAATGCAAGCAGTCTGATAAACAAAATCCTTCTTGCTTGAGAAGCTGGTTAGTTTTACACTGTGTCAACAGCCGCGCTTTGAAAATCGGGACACGAAGGTCGAGTTTGTTTACAACGAGTGAAAAAGGGAAAAAATCGTTCAATGATTTTGACTTGTTGCTCGCATTTTCGTATTATTATTTTGAAAATTCAAAAGAAATAAATTCTGAATTTAAGTGAAAAATTTTTTTTATTCTTCTTTTTCTTCTTCTTCTTTCTTTTCTTTTTTTCTTTTTTTCTTCTTTTTCTTCCTCTTCTTCTTTCTCTTCTTCTTTTCTTCTTCTTTTCTCTTCTTTTCTCTTCTTCTTCTTTTTTTCTCTTCTTTTTCTTCTTTTCTCTTCTTCTTTTTCTTCTTCTTCTTCTTTCTCTTCTTCTTTTCTCTTCTTCTTCTTTTCTCTTCTTTTTCTTCTCTTCTTCTTCTTCTTTTCTCTTCTTCTTTTCTCTTCTTCTTCTTTTCTCTTCTTTTTCTTCTCTTCTTTTTCTTCCTTTCTCTTCTCCTTCTTTTCTCTTCTTTTTCTTTTCTTCTTCTTTTCTCTTCTTCTTCTTCTTTTCTCTTCTTTTTCTTCTTTTCTTCTTCTTCTTTTCTCTTCTTCTTCTTCTTTTTCTTTTTTTTTTCTTTTCTTTCTCTTCTTCTTCTTCTTCTTCTTCTTCTTCTTCTTCTTTCTCTTCTTCTTCTTTTCTTTTCTTCTTCTTTTCTCTTCTTCTTCTTCTTCTTTTCTCTTCTTCTTTTCTCTTCTTCTTCGTCGTCGTCGTTGTCGTCGTTCACGTTATCTTTAAAATAAGGAAGTACTTATAGATAATAATAAAAAAACAAAAGGAATTATCAAATTGAAGACGTATTCACCAGATGGGGTGGTGTTGGTGCAGCTGCTAGAAGAAGAAGAAGAAGAAGAAGAAGAAGAAGAAGAAGAAGAAGAAGAAGAAGAAGAAGAAGAAGAAATTCCAGCAGAAGTGGTTTAAAGAGGGGAGGAGACATCACTTTTGAAAAGGGAAGGATATTTATGAACTAGAAAAGGGGGGGAAGCTGTATGAATAGAAAGAAAGAAAGAAAGAAAGAAAGAAAGAAAGAAAGAAAGAAAGAAAGAAAGAAAAGGGAGAGAGATATCGAACTGCCTCAAAAACAAATATGAGAAAATATGCTCTTTTTAATGAGAGGAGATAAAGGTGAGAAAATTAAAACCTAAACAAACACATACGCACCACACACAGAGAGGCACACACCCACATATTCACCCACACACACACACAGATAGACACACACAAACAAGAACTTCCGTTTTCCAACTAGTAGCAAAGCTTATTGATTAATAGCAGCAATTGAGTGTTGACATTTCACATTTTGATTTCGCACTAGTCATGATAGACAGGGTTGGGTGTGTCATGGCTGGAAACTATATATACCAGAGCTGAGCCTGGCTCGAAAGGCAACGACTTTGTGTCTGTGTGTTCGAATGCGTGCGGACATAAGACCTTCTGAGGGAATTTCATCTAACTGTATTAACCTTTTAGTGATCGGATATGGTTGCAAAATTTGACGAAAATCAGTAAATAAATCGATAAGTCATAAATTGTATTATAACACGGTTTATAAGCAGATATTGTATTTGGGTCTTTTCGATAAAATCAAATCCAGTCAAAGTTAATATCCGGCTGGTGCCATAAAAACAAATAAGAAATCATGCCCTAAAATATGTTCCACTAGTGGAACCATGGGGTTAGATGGATAGCTAATTGCGTGTGTGCAAACATTAAATCATTTTGTGCATTTTATACAGAATAATTACTAACATTCTCAAGAATCTTTTGACTCTGTCAATTTCTCTCGTTTCCCCATCTCTAAATACATATCTATCCAGCTAGTGAACATGATAGATAGATAGATAGATAGATAGAAGTCGATCTGTCTTTATAACCCTATCTATCTATCTATCTATCTATCTATCTATCTATCTATCTATCTATCTATCTATCTATGTATGTGTGTTGATTGTTCTAACCATTAAGACATACACATTCCATTGGAAATATCAGTTTTGTGTCGTGTAGTTTTTTGAATGCATATATGTTGACGTCTAAATAAAATCTGTTTATGTACAGGACTTGTTTGTAATATTCACGTCATTTGCACATGAGAAAGAAAGAAAGAAAGAAGCGTGAATGAAGGGAAGAACAAGGGGAGAGGAAAAGAGAAGATAAGAGTTTAAAAGAGAATGAGGGAGAACAACAGGAGAGAAGGAATCAATGAAATTTTGGAAATAGAATTTTATTCGGTTAAAAATGGGAGAGTAGTAAAAAGCGAAAAACAGAAAATTAAAGAATTCGGTCAGCTATAAATTGTAACCTGGCTTGTAGAAGAATTCTGCATTGGATTTTGAAAGTCGAGTCTGCCTGAAAAGGGGCGTGGGGAGGGTAAGAAAACGGAATAAGGTGCGTAAGTTTGACAGGAGTAGTGAAAAAAAAGGTTAAGATCGCAAATTTTCTTCCTCTCATTTTGACATCATACATGCGCCTGATGACATTAAACAATTTGGGGTATCAATAGATTCAATGAAAGTCTCCAACCCTGTTTTACAAGCAGAATTCACAGAAAAGAGATTATTACATCAATCGATCTTTCGATTTTTCAATAATTTCAACAGTTCATTTAAATTGATGAATAATCATTGAAAAAACGAGAGAAAATTAAATCTAGAAAAAAAAAAAAGAAAAAAAGAGAGATCACTGTCGTATGATCTCTATTTATGTGTCATATTCTTTTAGGATATAGACAGGCATGACTCTCTATAGCTTTCTATCTCGTCTGGCTTACAGAAGTTTTTCTTCTTTAGCTAAGGTACCTGAATTTAAACTGTTCTGTCATCCATTCATACAACCTGTCAGGTTAAGTGGTTCCCTGCCTCCTCCTACCTGTCTTGCCTTCATTATGCCCCGTGAGGGATAAGTTTTCCAAGCCCTCCTCCATCATTATGTGTCCAAGGAATTTGAGCTGACTTTTCCTGATTCTGGGCAGAAATGTTCCTCCAGTTACCATTTTCTTCAAGACTTCCTTGTTGCTTATTCGCTCCGTCCATGAAATTTTCTGTATCCTTCTGTAGAACCACATTTCTCTATTTTCTCCAGTGTTCTTCTCCTCTGTGGGGGAGATTGTTCAGCATTCACTGCTATATAAAAGGATGAAGATATCACATAGAGCAATCCAGCACTCTTTTCTTTTTTTGTTTTTGTTTTTTGTTTCTAACGAAATTTTCCAGTTTCTTATTACCTTTCTTAGCTTTTGGGGTGCATCTTTCGCTAGTCCAATTTATCTTCGGGTTTCGGTGTCACATTTTCCATCATCCGTTATATCATTTCATATATTGTAGAACTTCTGTACCTACCAAGAATAGAATTCACAAAGTGGGTCGGTTGAAAGGTTCAGCCATTCAAGAAAATGTCGGCGTATGGGGGCGGGGGGGGGGTAGGAAAAAGAGAAAGTAAGTACGCACCAGGGTAGCATTAGAAATAAATAATGATCTTCCTTTTCATTATAACAAATCTCTAAGATAAAATCTAAGTCACTTACACTTAAGGTATACTTATGCTTAAAGAACACTTACACTTAACGAACACTTACGCATTAAAAAGAATAAAATTAATATAATAGTCATCCGCAAAGGTATGGTTTTATTTCAGACAGCTAACGTCTGCAGGTTTCAATACTCTAGGTTTGTCGAATTAGTGATATAGCCATGGATTATCGATGGTGTTAGTTTAGTTGCTTCGTTGCAGACCAAGGAAGATGTGTCACCATTTGATCGTTATAGGGCAACTACAGAAAGGTAGCCAAGGTAATTACATCAAGAAAGGTTTTCGGGACCACGGCTCTAACACATACTTATTCCACCAGCTAAACACGCGTTCGAACCTGTATCAGTTTTTAATGAATGGTAGACTTTTTTTTTGTTGCCCGATTTTGGTTAGAAATATTGTACCTTTTGATGGTTGGCATGATTCGTAAAAATCACAATTTATTTAATGAGGAACTTTCATTTGACTTTTATGGATCCATTTTTTTAAATTTATTTTAGGTGGTAAGAAACTTCCTTTTAGTAACGGTGCCACTGCACTTCTCTTCGTCCACGTCTCTATTCTCTCAGTCACCGTATCATGTTCACCAATGACAACTGATATGGTTGGGACCTTCTTTAACTTCCAAAGCTTTGCGTACTCAAACGTATTTCTTAGCGGTCTTCCATACATGCGAATTGCATATCGTGTGTACGAAATAAAAATTGCATATCTCCTTACTCACAAGTTTACTCTGCTTACATCAAGTGCAAATTTTTGATAAAGATATTCACTTATCTCCTCTACATGTTTGAAACAATTTCCTTTTCCAAAGACAACATCCTATGACAGCTCTTTGATTACAATCCGCGTCCAGAGCGGTGGCCATTTTGAAAGATGATTACATTTACGAAGAAAAAGACGCTGATTCCCACAAATACTTTCACTTTGGCTTCGTGACACTTAATTATTACACTGTCATCGCAATCGAACCCTTTATTCCATTCACGTAGCTAGAGTGTTCTCAGGGTATTTGGTTCCCTGACAGTTGACGATTATGACGTCACACATTATTTCATAATGTGTGACGTCATTTGTTTACATATGGATACGCCATGAGCAGATATGAATGTACGTGAGAGATTCATGGAACATTTTAGTTTAAAAGCAGTAAAATCGACCTTGCTAACCGAACGATCCTCTGTGACTCGTCAGGCTCATATATGACGGTTCCGTATGGGATACAGGTTCGATTCCTGTCGAAGGACGAATATTTTCTATGAAAATTTCTCGGACATTCAGGCCGGTAAATGTTATTAATACCGTTTATTATAAATTTACTTAAATATTTATATCTATAAAAAGAATGTATAAACAAAAAAATGTCTTAAAATAATTGTTGGACTTTGTCCATTTCATAATATATATTATTTTTGTTACTGTGTAGGTTGATATATCTATATTTATTCTGTGTGTGTATATATGTATAAGCGTATATGTATGTATGTGTATGCATATGTGTATGTATATGTGTGTATATAGGCATATATATATGTGTGTGTGTGTGTATATATATGTATGTGTGTATGTATATTTATGTATGTTTCTGTTTATAGCGATGAATGTGTGTACACATACGTATGTACGTATTTTTATATATATTGGTATATATTTGTACTCGTGTATGTGTACTCATGCGTACATAAGCATATATGAGATATTTATATATATTTGTGTGCTTGTGTTTTCTTTTTTATATATTAGCTGGTTTTACTTTAAATATTGCATTTTACCTGGATATTTGAATTTGATGATTTTTATGTGTGTGTATGTATATATATTTATTTTTCTATCCATTTCTATATATTTTAGTGTCTTTTTCTTCGCGTTGTTCATTGACGAATATTTGTTTTTCTTTTCTACCCCTCTTAAATTTTATCTATTGAACTCTTTTTATCTATATATCTTTGCTCCATGTAAGTAATATTTTCATAGTCTGTTTGATTTCGTTTACTAACACTTTCAAATTTGGATATTTGTAGGTGTGTATATGTGTATGTCTTTATTAATGTAGAGTGCTGTTCGATAAAAGTGACTCACCTTATCCTTTGAATTTAGCTCAGCTTTCGTTTCATCGGAGAAGAGAACATTCCAGTCTTCTACGGTGAAATCTTTGTAATAGTGAGGCCATTCAAGTCTCTTGGCTTTGCTTATTAGAGGCTTAAACCTTCGTGTG